CGATGAAATAGAATTGGTTGATGCTGATTCAGCTTTGATTACTGATAATTGATCTTGAGGCATCCAACTTGTTATATCAAAATTAAGACATGGATAAATGAGTATTAAAGATTTGGGATGAGGGATTGGAATTGGAGATTCAAGTATCTTGTACATGACAGATGTAACCAAATTTCCACCACTTTTTTTTTTATACCAAAAAAAAAAATATTAATAATGTTAATATTTATTATTAACCGAAATATTTATCAAAAAATCTCAAAAAATTACTTACGCTGAATCACCAATTAAAACAATGCTGATTTGTTTTTTATCATTACCATTTTGATCATGCCAACCAGCCATTCCTATAACTTCTCCATTAGATTCCATGATACTTTGATAAGCGTCGAAACATTCTTCCAACGCGTATGGATAAGGAAATTCAGGAGCTTTTCCATAATCGATACTAAGAATAGGAACTCGAACTTTTTTTACCCAATTACATAAATAATCCTCATGACATATAGGATTCATTGCAACGAATCCACCACCAGAATAATTTAATATTAATTTGTCACAATTATTTTTCAAGGATTGTTCATTTCCAGAATAATATAAATAACCAATTACGGGTCTTGTTCCATGCGAGTTTTTTTTTGGACGTGGAATGATTATTTTTTTTCTAAATATTTGAAGACGTGGATGTGTTAATTTGATCAGAAATCTCAGATATGGATTCATGGTTTTTTCAAATGAACATCTTAAATGTTCAACAGTAATTGTTGCACGTATACGACGAATCTAATAACAAAAAATTAAACCAAATTAGAAAATGAATTATTTAATTATTTGTTAATTATTTATGTAATGTATTAATCAATATATATATATATAGTTACTTTTTCATCAGCTTGATCGGCAAAAACCAAATAATAAATTGAAAAAACCAGAGACATAATATCTCTTAAAATTTTTGGCCGAATAGACATTGCTGTTAAAAAACCAGCATCCAAAGCACTCAAAATCCATGTTGCTCGATAATAATTTCGACTATACTATTTATTATTTCATAATGGTAGATTTATTATAACAATAAATAATTATCGTGTAATAAAAATTAACAAATATATATCACATACTAATCTTGCCAAAGGCTCAGGTGCTGTTTATCAATTGAAATAAATATAAATAAACAGTATACAAATCAAAAAATATATATATATAGGAAAAATCAGCTCTTTTTCTTACCTCCTAAACCTACAATACGATCAGCATTTTTTAATATATATAAAATAGCTAGTGTACCAGTAACTATCTGAAAGGGAGAAAACCGTACTAAATTTAAGGGAAAAATAAAAAAGAAGTTAACAATTTTGATTTGAGGACAAGTTTCAACTCGATAAACCCATAACATGAAATTCAAGTTATATATATATATATATATATATATATATTGATT